TTAGTTTGACTTTTAATTTTATTTTTGTACCTGCTACAGATTAAATAGGATAGTTTTTATTCAATATATATTACAAATAATTTTTATTGAAGTTCATCCACTACTGGTTCGGAAAAAGGATTTGTGGGAAGAACCAGCAAGAAACTCATTGGGGCTTTTTTTGGAAGTAAATTATACAATGATAAAAGTTGTACAAAATACTTACAAAACTTTTTAGACACAGCTCAGAAGCGACCACCTAATTTCAAGGGATTATTATCAACCCTGTATTCACAAATATTATCTATATACTGTCTTTGTTTAATGAAATTTGAACTAACTTGGTACACAGAAACTTCTTATATTTCCTGGGACTTTGTTGTAATAGCGTAATATATACTATATTGCCCAATGAATGAATTACTCACTCTGTAAAGTCAAGAAACTGGCGATATTACTGGGAAGATTTTTGAAGCAGAGAAGAGGTCGCTGTACTACTTGAACTAACTACATGTACTGATATTCTTAAATTATTTTATTAGTTTTTGAGCATACAAGTGTCGTCACCTTCTTTTTATAATTTTTTTGTAAATTCGTACTTAAAATTGATTACTGTCGGCACCAATCACCGAAGATTCGGTCAATTAAAAATTTTGCTCAGAATGATTTCTTATATTTACGCGAACACATTGATTAAAACTACTTTTACGGATTTTATCGCGTTTTATGTATATTAATTTTAATACTCGACGTTTCGGGTGCTTTCACATCGGTGACACATAGCTGACGTGAAGCATCAACATTCCAGGAAGTCTGCGGTTTGCGATCATATTCTAGATGGCCCCAACCATTACATCAGATTTGATAGACCACAAATCCTCGCGAAAGAACATCGATTCCTACCAAGGATGATACGTGAGGCTATTGAAATTAAAAAACTTCCTAATTTCAATAGAGAAGGAGGCTGGGTACTACCACCTGCTTGGGATCCTATAATTAATAAAATTAAAACTAAACCCAAGCATACCACTGCAAGACTTCAAAATACAGTTAGTTCATACTGCGTAGATCGGACCAAAGACAATAATTAAAAAGCTGAAGGTACTCCGGGTTAACTTTGACATCGGGACGTCAGTCACCTCAGTCCCCCGTGACCGTGTGCTGGAAAGCACCCGAAACGTCGGGTATTAAAATTAATATAAATAAAACGCGATAAAATCCGTAAAAGTAGTTTTTGCTCAGAATTAAAGCCGCGTACAAAAGCCTGTTTATTATATTTTGCAACAGTATAAAAACAGATGTGGGTTTTGCTATCGACAGAGGCTACACATTTAAAAAAATCGAACCTTAATTCCTCTGAGAGCAGCAATGTCAGTTAAAGGGTAAAAGTACAAGTAAATTTAAAATAACCTTTATACGTCCAACGCCCTATCGCCTCTCATTCTTGAGATGTTTATACATACAACAATTAGTTCACCGCACTGCTCAAATACGTGTTGGCGGACATCAAATGTCCTTGGATTGCATATTTTATTTCTTAGACAGACTTCATGATATTTATGGTAAATCAGCACTTAATATTATTGCAACAAATTCATTGGTCGAACCCTGGTAGTTCGGGAATTGCGAGCGCATAGCCTCTGAGCCACCACAGCTCTAGTGATATGTAGGAAGAGAGTCAGTGAGAGGGTACGAGAAATTAATTTAAGGGTGAAAGCCGGTTTTTTAACTCATATAAAAATGCCTTGATCAATTATAAGCTTAGAGAGCCTGATGAAAAAGAAAATAATTTTTATAACAGTAACATTGTTTTAGTTATATTTTTTATATTCGCTATAATATCCGAGAACCAGACTAAGTGCCGCAAGAGGTGATAGAGGGGAAAGAAACGGAGATAGGTAGCAGCATCTTCTTTAACTCAAAATAATAAAATACTGCGGTTGCCATCCCCTTTGTCCCACTTTGGAGAGGTCTATGTTCAGTTATGGACTTTTTATATTAATTTTTAAGATCTTATTTTCATTTTTAAGCAATTGGACGTGTCTCCTCAACCATCATACTAACCTAATATTACCACTTCTGAGGTTAACAACAATGGTTGAATTGCGGATTCTAATCCACGATTTTCAGGTAAGGGCTTTGTACCTTTAATCATTAGGCTACTGTCTCATAAGTTCTCTGTAAAATGGAGAATTTATATAAACCTTAATATATAGAAAGGGTATATTACTTAGCGCGCGGAATACTTACCGTGCGGTACAAGATCAATCTATAACGTGTTAACTGTCTATATAACCGCGCTCGACCGCGCGGTAGAGCGCGGCGCGCTACGACGGCGTTTAAAGTTGAAAATTGATATGTACAAATTATTAAAACAATACCAATCTGCACAAGCACGACCATTTGAAGATTTTAATTACCCGTCTGCTTCATATAACTCACAACGGCAGCCAAGAAACTATCCAACTTCATGCACAAATCCTCATTTTAGCGACACGATTCGATACTCTGGTTACGAAACTGGCTCTTACACTTCACCTCCCATAAATTCAACACAAGTAACATCGCCCGGGTCACACGAAGATTCTGAAGAACTGGATTTGTTTAATCAAGCAATAAATAAGTACAACATTTACCTAAAAGACTCATTTATAATGACTTGATTGTTAAAGTTTTGAATAAAAAGTGATCACTTACCTTAATGTTACTATGAGTTTTTCTTTTGGTGATATGCAATATCTTATAGCACCATCTCTGGGTTTTAAATCGTTTTCAACGCAATCATAAAAAAATCAAAAGATGCTACTGACATCCTAAAGAAATTAAAAAAAAATTCTTCGTGAAGTCTCAGGTCGGGATATAATGTTACAAAATGGCTTGACGAAAGTCTTTCACTTAAAATAGGATGGACCCAGTATCGTCTTTGTCTTTTTCTCCGACGTTTTAGTTTTCTGTACAAAATCCATAAGCAAATTGCCTCCTCTACGTCCATTTTCAATCAATGTTGATGCCAGACTGCCGCGCGTACATATCCTGCCATGGGAATGCTTCCACCGCGCGGCACCGCGCGGTGCCGCGCGGTTATGTGAACTTAGCCTTATTTTAAAACATTTAATAATCGGCTTTCTTAACAAATTCTTCTTTATAGTTTAAATAAATAAAAACTTTTATAAACAGTTTTTTTTTCAAACTAAAGATTGTGCCACAATTTATTTCTCAATTATTATTTTATTTTCAAAACGTTACTTTTGGTTGTAAGGGTGAATTAAAAAAAATTAAAGTGACAAATGGAATCAGAGTCCGTTTAATGGTAACTAAGGCTACATGGGGTACATTAAAAGTATTGCATAATTTATAAATAAAACAATTTATGTGTAAATTAATACATTTGCTGCTTTTAAAAGTATTCTAGATTACATTTTAAACACCTTTTCATTCATTCAAACCATTATCGAAAGTATTTAAGGACCATTGTTCTGAGGGCATGTTTTTCAAGTGCTGGTTGCGCAAACCACCCTTACGGCCTCTTCTGGCTCCATAAAAATGATACAAAAGATGAGAAAAAAGAAATCACGTGGTGTGAGGTCTGGACTATGAGCGGGATAGGTCGTTAACCTTAGTAAAAGCCAAAAATATGCGCGATGTGCGCCGACAAAAAATCGTGGAATTTCTGTCAGAATTATCTATCCTTTACTCATCAAAAGGGATCGTGCAGACGAGTGTCTGGGATAAAAAAGTAATCATATTTTTGCCTACGCCTCTTGCCTCAGATTACCTCAATCCGTTTGCCATGTTGATTTGCTGTCGCCTTTAAACACCCATAAAAATAACTGTTGCTTTATTTCAGGAATTTAAAAATATATACATTTTCGTCTCTTGTCAAAATTTGAGCCCGTTTTCGTTATACGATAAGTTTAAGAAGAATCTAGGAATCTAGAAGGCTAGTAGTCGTAAACATTGTGCCTTGGAAAGCACACGTTGTATTTGATATCTCCCTAGTCCCCCTTTGTGAGAGCTGCTGTTATAGTACACTGCAGAGTGGCTCTGAATCTGAACATAAAGGAGTAAATGTCTATATAATAATCGACTCTATACTCACTAATCTATGCTTCGTTTTCCAGCGGTTTCAATAAGGTCTTTCTTTTATTAAAACTCTATGAATAAAAATATATACATAATATTTATTATAATAAAAATACTACAAAGTACTTATTGTGCTACGTTCTGTTGGATACGTTGGATAACTTAGACTGCCTCCAGTGGCAATGACCAGTCGTGGATTCAATTCCTTTAGAGACTTAACCACGCGTGAACCTCACTCGCTAATAACTTCTACAGCAAATGGTACGTATAATAAGCATCTCTCAAAGACTCATCATTTCCGCCATTTAATCAGTTTAGCCGCATCTGACTCGAAATGGGATGATACTCCTGAGATGAGATGACCCTCTTGATCCTATACGAGGTATATTCAATAAAGTTTAAATAAATAAATGAGAGGTCACTAAATCGTCTAGTAACGGAGCACCCTACAGGTTCTGCCTTTCTCATCTAATAATAGAACATATTTTTATTTAAAAAATGAATAAATGAAATAAAATATATTCTAACCCAAAGCATTTCTTAAAATTTCAATCGAAGAATTATAAGTTAATAGACAGAGCCCGACAGCAATAAATCGGATGAAAAATTACAAAATCAGTGACGTATTATTGTATCGAGTATCAGAGGTCGTAGTACGTGGGAATCGTCATCTCAGGTCCACACCTTTATCGTGTCGCAAAGTGAGATTGTTTATTACAGAGACCACGCGGTGTGCGTCCGCATTTCATATTGAGATTATATCGCGTACACCCGACAGCACCAACCACCAATAGTGCTGCTTGTTACGATCATAGAACTTCTAGTATTGCCTCCGCGGCTGTGATAAAAAATTGTGCTAACTTCTAGTGTAATATTTACACTGAATTTAATATTTGTAGTGCCATTTTTTGTGTAAATTTGTGATTGAAATTTCGAAGATGAACGGTAAGGTTTTGTGATTATTTAGACTAATATTATTTTTTAAATAACCATATTTTTTATCGTCATATAATTTATTCTAAGTCTATTATTTTTATGTCTATAGAATTTATTGCTAATAAATTAAAAAAATATTCATAAAGCTCACTTGCGTTCTTAAAAATTTTCAAAATATAAATAAAAAGCAGAAACATTAAAATAGATACAAATTCATTAACACTTATAGAACATAATGCCTTCCATTTCCCCGTTGCTTTTGGCATTTTAACCATATAAAATTGTATATTCGTATATGTACATAAAAATCATTTGCTAAGTTCCTGACTACACCAGTATGGAGATGCATAATAATCTAACTGAAAGAAACACTGATTGTAAACAAAGCCGTTCCAATAGGGCCGACCCGTCTAGCCACTTAGGGAAATTCCACAATGCGTCATATAAATAATTATCCAATTAAGAGTACGGACGGCATGGTAATCTACTCTAGAATTAATTTCTTTCTTACAAGTATCAACTATAGTTAGAAGATGAATACTTTGTATTTATTTACTTTACAACCTGAATATTTCAAACCATTATCAAGCTTACTAAATATTTCTATCTTCATTCTTCTTCCTTGCCTAAACAATTAAATAATATTGAAGCGTTTGTTTGTTATTTCAAAACAACAGCATTTTTAAATGCATATGAAAGTACTTACAACAAAAAAACAATTTTTGCCTGTCTGTTTGTCTGTTTGTTCCGGCCTATATCTAAAAAGCCTGGACCAATTTTAACGGGACTTTCACATGTCAAAAATTTGAAACCCATAAAATGGATTGTCAAATAGGGAATAAAATTGATTCAAATAACGAAGTATAATAATAAATTACAAAAAATTATTTCACGGGAACAAAGTCGGGGACATAGCTAGTGGACCTAATGCCCACTGCTGGAGGTGGGCCTTTCTCTTGATAACAGTAGATTTACCTTAATTACCACGTTTGGTGTCTGGGAATGTTATTTTTATTAAACTTTCCAGTGGGAAGTTATTGTAATGGGTCCAATTTTGCAAATTGGAAATTTTAACATATCACCACTTTTCAAGGTCTTTAGAGTCGAAAAGTATGGTTTTTAAGAGGATGTCCGTGTACATGTACGTATGTATGTATGTACGTATGTATGTTCGGATTCAATTTTCGCCTAGTGTATCTCGAGAACAATAAGTGATATTGACATGGGACCAGTTTCATTTAACGCATAATTATGTTACTTAGACCTCATTCAATTTTGAGCAAAATCAGTCAAGTCGTTTTTTGTGCCGAATGAATAATTTTACAAAATATTAAAACATATGATATTTTTTTTATTCTTTCCACTGGGAAGTTAGTTGTGTGGACCTTTCGGATCGCACCTAGACCGCTTTTTGATATGTGGTAATGACCGCGGTAGCTCAGCGGTTTAGCGCTTTCCGAAATTTCACTATACGCGAACACACCGAGTTCGACCTTCGCCAGCACCATTTAAATTAATATATACGAGTATATATTAGTAATACTTAGTAGTACTATATATATTAGTATATACTACGTGCTCGTTCGTTAAGGTAAACATCTAGCCTGTCTAAGTAATAATATATTTCGAGTACATAATATGAAGTCTGTCAACGTGCAGTAGAAAATCGCGGCGGACTAATTTCCATAATTCTCAAAGAAATAAGAGGAGTTATATATAGGTTGTTATTTTATTTTGTGTTTGATACATTGTTTTCAGTATTTTGCTTTTAGATGAATAACGTAGCAGCGTCAAAAGCTCTTCATAAGTTTTTTTGTAAAAAGTGAAAACAATGAATTATATATATTTAAAATTTTTCCTGTCATTTCCAGGGGTTATTATTAAGCATGAGTTGATTGATATTGTAAAAAATATTTTTATGTAGACATCATTCCTCATCAAAATTTTTAAACTACAAATTTTAAAAGTTTAAAAATTTTGATGAGGATAGATTATAGATAGACTACACTGCTCCACAAATGAATAAATTAATCTGTTAAAATATTTAGAACATCATCATCATCATCATCATTACAGCCCTTCACAAGTCCACTGCTGAACATAGGCCTCCCCCAAGGTATGTCACAAAGCTCGGTCCTGAGCCACCTGCATCCATCTAGTGGGGGGTCGCCCTACACTTCGCCTACCGGTACGAGGTTGCCACTCGAGAAACTTTTTTCCGGTCGGTTTTTCGAGCAATACGGCCGGCCCATTGCCACTTCAGCTTACTAATCCGTTGGGCTATGTCGATCACTCTGGTTCTACTGCGGATATCCTCATTTCTAAGAAAATAATTTCAAAAATTTTTAAATTTAATGTCACAATAAAAATCACTTCATTCTTTATTATTTTCTGTGATAGTGCCATAATTTTTAAATATACACAAAAATAGCTCAAAACCCAGGTTCTAAAAATAATCAAACAGGTATAATTTTAAAAAAGTGCATCGATAAACAATATTTCTCATGAGAACTAAACTTTTTTCCCGCACCAGGGGCGATGTTGCAACTTACGCGCATGTGAAAGCATTGTCATGTGAACGTGATGTGTCACGGTTTGCATAAACGGCCATTTGATTTTTGTGATCGAATTAAAAAAAAATGTAATATAGATTATTAATGAGCGGCAGCCTCTTACTGGCAAGTGCGATGTTGTCGAGCCTAGATGGAGACAACCTGATGGAACACGTACTTAATGTAGTCGTAGGATGCAGGTGGCTCAGGACCGTACATTGTGCCAATATATGGGGGAGGTCTATCAGTGGACTTAGGATCAGTTGCTATAATACTAGTAGTAGAATTTTTAGTATTAGGAGTGTATTATTAAGTCATAATTAAACAGTTGTGCAAATACATCTGTCCAAAGAAGAACCAGCAAGAAACGAAAAGGAACATTTAAAAAAAGACCTGATTACAATTTTTAATTATAATTAATATTTATAAATAACTTCGCAGTTAACTCATTTATAGGTATAATTACCATCCAGATATTTTTGAATATTATAATAACTCTTTTTACACAATATAAATATTATTATTAATAAAGTTTTCGAACTTGACGATAAAATTTCACATTGAATTAATGACTTGATGTCTCTGGATACAAGTAACCGATCCCATTCCTCAGTTGGTGAGTAAGTAGAGTGGTAAGTTGTTGTATGTTCAATATCACACGCGGTCCGGACCAGTCTGTGAATCGCCCAAGTGTTTTTAGAATGAGGCTTTACGAATCAGGTGTGGATCGCCCAAGTGTTCTTTTTAAATGGGGTCTTTCGGACCCCGGTGTAAATTACTCACGATATTTTTATACTAGGGCCATTTGGACAAGAGTCTGAGTCGACTAAGTACTTTTTTCTATCTCAAATCACCTCAGATTTGCACCTCTATCAAAAATTTAAAAAAAATTGTATGTATCGTCGTTTTTTGTACCGATAGGTTTTCAACGATAATCATAAAAAAATGATAAAGTAGAATTGTTTAATAACGATATAAATAGATAACAATTACACATTATGTTGCATACCATTCTAAGTGTTATTACTTATTACCTACAACATTTATATAAGTGATATCAATCAGATTATGCGTGGATTACAGATTATTACTTATAACTTTACACTGGTAGGGCCATGCTGCAACTATATTATGGTTACAGCACGAACGGGTCGGCTCAACGGGGATAGGACCACGCCCACACGGAATACCAACGTTAAAATAGCAGTATATAGCAAGCATACTATAGCAGCAACAACAATAGCATAGCAAAACAGCTGACGTGTTTCGTATTCATATATATATATTTTTGTAGTGAGTGTAGGAACTGTCTCTTCACTCACTCTTTTTACTGGAAACGAGGCATTCCATCTCCGTCCTCAGGGGTGACAACGCGTCCGCATTTTAATTCTTAATTGAGGATAAATGTAAATGTTCATGGGCCACAGCATCTAATTACCATCAGGTGGACTGTGTGCTCGTGATTCTTCTATAAGAAAATAGTTACAACTATAAAAATACATACAAATACCACACAATAACTAGCAGGTGACATTTATTAAAGGATAAATAAAAAACGATTAACGGTTGAGTGAATATTACTAATGTTTGCTTAATTTATTAATGAATTTATTAAAATCTCGAGCTATAAAATCTGATAACTTGTTAGCACTTATAAAAAATATAAACCTATTATTATATTTTCAACAAGGATGTGATTTCGTGTTGTAATATATTGATTCTCTTGATTGTTTATAGAAAATAATAAAAAAAAAAGAATCTAAAAAGATTTCATTGGTAACAGCTCCGTGATCGCTGCGGTAACGTAATGGTTTTGGTGCTGGTGGGGCCGCGGGATCGAATCCCGCAATCCTACATATAATTGTTCCAGGTCTGAATATTTGTCCTTGTACAGGTCATCCATGTTAACCACACCCACGATAAAGGAGAAAATCCTAATGTGGGGTATTTTTTAAAGATTTTATTGTGGGCTATTTTTTTTCAAAACGAATATGTTTTCAGTGTCTGTCACCTTTTCTCATAGCACACAGAGACCAATCAAATACCGTAGCATGGTAGATGCTACGGTATTTAATTGGTATCTGTGCATTCTCATCTATACAGTGCAAAGTTGCATTGTCTGTTTGTAATAAGAACTTTTTGCTAAATGCATATGAAACTATACACGGTACTTATAACAAAAAAAAAATCAAGTTTTAAAATTTTTGCTTGTCTGTCTGTTTGTTTCGGCTAATCTCCGAAAAGGCTGGAGCGATTTTGACGTAACTTTCACTAACAGATATCTGATGTTATAAAAAGTAACTTAGACTACTTTTATTTTGAAAAAAAAAATTAGGGTTCTGTGCCATAAATTAAAACCCATGAAATCGGGCGAAGTTGTAGGGAGCGGCTAGTTAAAATTATATTCATTCAGCTCGACACCAGTATCAGCAATCGCAACTTACTACTATGATTTAC